ATCGTAAATCCTAAACCCTAAATCCTAAATCCTAAGCCGTAAATCCTAAACCCTAAATCCTAAATCCTAATTCCTAGGAGCTGAAGGTTGCCTTAGGCTACTGTTTAAGGTCTTGAATATACATATATATATATGTATACAATATATATTCACAGTTTCAATGTGGAGAACCCCCTTACGTGCATAAGAGGCGTTATGAGGCTTTGCCTTACGTAAGTGTCTNNACCTGGTGGCAGAGGCCACAGAGAGGCGCGAGCGTGCGCCCCTAGGGGTCGCAGCAAAGCTCGCTCCCCTTTGTTTAGGGTTTAGGGTTTAGGGCCTTCTGGGCCTTCATAGGCGTGGGATACAAGTAAAGAAGACAGGATGGGCAGACCTCATTCGATGCTTGGGTATAAGGTGATGAAGACAGCTCTAAGTTTGCGTGGCATGCGGAGGACTTCTAACCGCAAGTGCAACTGCCCATCAAGCTTGGAGTAGCCAGCCGCCTGTAGACGTAGCATATCTAGACCTGTTTTGAAACGTCCTTTCCTAGTCCTTGAAGAATACCATGCATGTCCAGATGTTCCTCACATTATCCTAAGATCTTGAACCTAATCCTTCTGCATGTTGGAAGCTCCCTGATTGGGGCACAGTAGCGGCCGAAGGGATTGTACTCGCCGTTCGCACCCACAAAGCGCTGGGCGTAACCTCTCATTTCAGACCGTGTTGGTGATGTGGATGATGATAATGATGATGTTGATGATGATGGTGATGATGGTAAGGATGAAGACGATGACAATGACGATTAGGATGAAGAGGGGAATAAGAGTATGGTGGTGATGATCGTCATGATAGTCGTCATCAACGTTTTCATCACCAGCGTCGCTCTGATCAACAACAGCAGCAGCAGCATGGTACTAATGGAAAAGCAAATGGGAACTTCTATAGGATTTAGGGTTCAGGGTTCAGGGTTTAGTGGTCAGTCTTCTTGATCAGAACCGCGACGGCAGCTTAGAACTGGGAAAGAAAAGCATCGGTACCCCACTATAGATTGTGCGACCCCCAGTAATTGACCCGTAGTTTTCGGAATCCCTAATCCCTACCAACCACTATGTGATCCCAGTGTTTCCATGTGTCATGTGATTCTCCATTCTTGGACGTAATATCCCTAAACCCTCAATCCTAAACCCCAATTACACCCAGGAGAATTGACAGCAGAAGCACGGGTCCATGAGTTCCAGGACTGGTCGTGGGAATGCTGGAAAGAGCCGGCCCTAAGCCCGAAGTAGAAAAGTGCGATTTTCAGATAACCAACTCCTAAAATTAGGGTTTAGGGTAGTTGGGCTAAGAAAACATCATTTCATAAGGAGCCGGCCCCAAACACTAAGTCTTAGCTCCTAAACTACTCCCTCTGAGGTGTTCGGGCGAAGATGTTCATGCACCCCAAACTTCTGTGCCGTTGAGCACATATTGTTTCCCTGAAGCTCAGATTTTAAGCCTTAAACCCTGTACTAAACTCTAAACCCAGTCTGAAGCCCTAAACTCACCCAAGCCCCAGATCTCTTAAACCCCAAACCAGGCTGTTGTTGCCCCACACCTAAACTGGTTGATTTAGGGTTTAGTGTTCCACAGTAACCTCCTACTAATGAGGGTATTTTTTCCCCCATTGTTCCGTTTTCATAAGGACACCCCAGCCAAACTACAAAGGTTAAAAGGGTACTACTGGGGTACCTACTTGGAGAGTCAGGGGAACTTAGTAAGTAGGTCAATAAACCCTATAACCACCCATATAGTAACCCTAACTATCCCCAATATTAACCCACTTACTAAGTCCCCCTGACCCTAAACCCTAAACCCTAAACCCTATACTCCTCCTGACCCTAAACCCTAAACCCTAAACACTTTATAATCCCTATAACCCATATGGTAACCCTGATTATCCCCATTATTAACCCACTTGCTAAGTCCCCCTGACCCTCCAAGTAGTTTCCATTTTCTTGTCCAGATTATCCCCATACAATTCCCTATTGTAACCCCATAGAATCTCTATATAACCCCTATTATAACCCCAATATAACCCCATATTATCCCCATTATAACCCCTATTGTAGAAAAGCCTACCAACGAAACCCACGAGGTGGCCAAGCATCCCAACTGAAGTTTAATGACTTTCGGACATATAGGCCAACAAGTGAGATGAGGACGAATCAGCCATACTACTGCTTCTACAGCTACTTCTGATGAGGACGAATACGCCATAGTATTGATTCAACCGCTTCGGCTACTTGTATTGCTTCTTCTGGCATGAACATGCCGATGCCACTGCATGTGCTTTCTCATGGTACTCATGGAAGACATGGTTCAGGGCTCAGGGTCTAGGGTTCCAAGGTTCAGGCTTGAGGGTTGAGCGTTCAGGGTTTAGGGTTCAGGGTTATATCCCTAAACCCTAAACCCTAAACACTAGGGTTTAAGGTTCAGGGTTTAGGGTTTAGATGCATGTCTCACTGCAAAGGTACCTTCAGAGCCCGGTGATTTTCCAGCGCGACCGCTGCTGGAGCCTGGTTACTGGGCAGAGTAGGATATACTAGGGTTATATAGGGGTTATACAGAGGTTATACATGGGGTTTAGGGTTTAGGGTTTAGGGTTTAGGGGTTATACAGGGGTTATATATAAGGTTTTATGGGGATAATGGAAAAGATGGAAACTACTGTTTGGTGGTTTAATGTCTTTAGCAGCGTTTCAGTCTTCCCCTCCTTTTTGTTTTAAGGGCCCTAATATTGGGATCCCTATTATGATCCCTATTAAGGGGAGGAGGTTTGTTAATCAGGGGTCTGGGTAAGGGGTGCCCACGGAAGTGTGTGTCCTGAAATTGAAATGTACTACATACCAGGCGATGCTTGGAGGCTCTTAGGGCTTGTCCAGTGCTGGGCAGAATTCCGTGGAATTTTCAGCACCCGTGAACCTCGAAGGATCCATTTTCGATTTCCGCGTCCCAAGGACCAGAAATCGCAAATGTAAGGGGGTTTGGTGTTTAGGGTTTAGGGTTTAGAAACCCAATAACGTCAAAACGCAAACCCTCCGCTGACTGGATAACGGGAACAGTGAATGAAGTTGTAGCGTAATCCCGAGATCCTAGGTTTCTCTCCATTGCCATCTACACAGCAGACCCTTTTGCAGCACAAGAGCAAGCATCATAAAACAAGACATACAATGTATATGTAGTTCTTGCCCAGTTCCAATCCAGACGCAAGAACAGCTGCAACCAACCAAGCCAGTGCAAGAGCAGCAATAGCAGTGAAGTCATGAATAGTTCAAACTATCATACACAGAACTTGGGCCCCTAAACCCTAACCCTAAACCCCAAAGTGTAACAGCATGTTGTACGCCACACCACTCTCCAGCTTTCCTAAATCTCAGTTCCAAGACTGTAATCATTAAATCCTAACTACTCATCCCCAATCCCTGAACTCAGAAATCCAAAACCCTAAGCCCTGAAAAGCACCTAAACCTCATGCTTCCATGTCATACTCCAATTTCTTTCCATTTGATTCTCCGCTATCATGATAATGTTCCCATATAGGGGGGCTATATTAGGGGCTATACTGAACTACAAGAGGGACCCCTCTGTCCACCTAATATTGACAGTAGCTCATATGATCCCTATACAACCGCCTAAACCCAATCACTCAACCCTAAACCCCAACCTATGCCTACAGATACCTATGTATCCCTATATAGTCCCTACATTACCTCTATGTCCTACTAAGCCCTAGCCCCAGAATCCCTAAACCTTAAACCCGTGACCCTAAATCCTAAACCCTAAACCACTCAACCCTACACCCTAAACCCCTAAACCCTAAACCCTAAATCCCTAAACCCGAAACCCGAAATCCCTAAACCCAAAAAAATCCTCAACCCTATACCCTCTACCCTAAACCCTGAATCTCTAAGTTCTAAACTACCCTAGATCCTAAACCCTATATCCCTAAATCCAAATCCCTAAATTCCCGAACCCTAAACACCCCCAAAGCATATGCCTTCTTTGCGACGTCTCCGGGCTTCGGCAGCTCTCATCATCTCCTTCCACGCATGCAGACAGAGGTTTAGGGTTTAGGGTTAACTGGGTTGCTGTTAAGGAACTTAATTTAAGTCACCATAATATCAGTTAGGGTTTAGGGTTCGGGTTTAGGGTTTGGGGATCAAGTTGCCACATTATGGGTGTATTGTAAATGACAGGGTTTCCTTATTGTAGTCGCTTACTTGAAATTCCTTTCAACACGCCTAAACCCTAAACCCCTAAACCCTTAACCCAGCTTAGGCTTTATAGTGCCTTCGGATCAAGGAGCAAGCATCTTGCTTATTTGGGGGGGGGTCGAGCTACACGGATATTCTGGTTTAGGGTTTAGAGTCTAGAGGTTACAAGATGCTCCTGCCGCACCCTTCCGTGAGCAATTGCTTCACTCGGCATACATGGCCTTGAAATGGCTCTGCACATGAAACTGAAGGGAACTACCGCGAAGCTCAGAATCACTTTTGCACAGAAGGCTAATTCGCGGCGAATTGCCGCTCGTATGGTACCGCAACCGTTCCTTAGGTTGCCCACTCTTTCATAGCCACTGTCGCTTCTTGTGACAGCCGAACGAAAATCGGATTCCCAGACCCCTGGGAGGATCTAAAAGTTTAGATCCCTTATATAGACCCATTATAACCCCTATATAATCCTTATATAATTTCCCCTATGGTTCTAGGGGATGTAATTTTCAGATCCTTTTGGGGGTCTGGGTTGTACAAGGTACAACGCAGCAAGGGTTCAGGGCTTTGGTCCCTCGCTGGACTAAGGCACCGCAAGGAAGTTAGGCCTGCAAAGGTCTGAGGGAGCAAGCATAAGGGGTTTAGGGTTAAGGGCTTTAG